GCCCCTGGGGAGGAATAACCCCAGGCACCAGGGCAGGCTGGGAAGCAGCTCTGCAAAGATCGCAGAGAACCCCCCCCCACCCCACCCCGGCAACATGCACACGCACATGCCTGTGCTTGTAGCACAAAAAGGCAAAACAAATCCAACCCTCCAGCTTCTTCAATGGGTTCCTCCTTCAGGAGTGAGGCAGAGGATGTTTTTCTTTGTGGAGCCGTTGTTGATACAAGAGCAACCCAGAGGCACTGAGCTGCAGCAATCATCAAAACCCAGCAGAACTGGAAGACTTGGCCTGCCCAGGCCCTGACATGCTGTATGGGATTTAAAAGGCACAACATCTCTTAACAGCACTGCCCTTGCCCTCAGCTGGGCAAGCTTTGCTGCACACGCCAGGTTTGCACGAGAGAGCGCAAAAGCCCCCTGCACCCCACGGCCCCATTGCGAGCAGCAGCTCCCTGTGCCAGTGCCCCCGCTGGACACCCCGGGGCCCTGCTGGTGCTGGGGCTGCCTCTCTCTCCTGGCCCTGCAGCAGGCTCTGGCCCCTCGAGGTCACCGTCCCTGCTCTGTTGCACTGCCATCCTGCCTGCGGAGAGACCGAGGCAAACCCTCGGCTCCGCCTGACCTAACTGGGCAGGATAACCCAGGGGAATAACCCCCCGCCGATGCTGGCACGGGTTCAGCCTCAGCAAGTAGTGCCAGGTGCAGACCCAAACCCAGCTGCAAGGCTGAACACCTCCTTGGCAGGAGATGTGCATGGAAGACAGCTGAGTTATGAACTGCTGGTGCTGGCTGCCTCATTTTAGTGCATGGCCAGAAATAGGGTGTGTGCTGGGCCACCTCTATGCCAAAGTTGTGCCTTTGCAAAGGCATCCCACTTGGACATAAAGATGGGCAAAACAAGCTGCCTGAAGGACGAGGCTGTGCAATGGTGGATGCAAAGACCTTGGACACATGACCTTGTAGAGCTCATCTCCCGTCTCGCTGCAACCCCGGGATGTGGGGACTGGTGTGCCAAGGCCCACCTCACAGGAGACCTGGCAGACTCAACCCCAGCCCTTTCTTTAGTGCCTGGCTGCTTGTGAATGATGGTTGGAAAAGCAGAGGCAGATATGGACGTCTCCATTGCACAATCTTGGAGCGCCTGTGCGTCCTCCCACCCTGCTGCACAGCCCCATGCGAAGGCTGAGGGCCATCCTGCCTTGGCAAGGGCACAGCTGGGTGCTCCCATATGCTAAAGAGGCCAGGGAGCTCCAGATAAGCTCTTGTGAGCTAATGACGAAGTCCAGTACATGGACTAAAAATAAGGAAACAGCAGGCGAAAAATAAATCACTTGCTGGAACCCAAGGCAGAAAGCCTGAGACAGGAGGCTCCAGCGCACTAAATCTGACTGAGCCCTGATTTGTGGCCTGACCTCGGCTGCACTAATTGAACTCTTGGGCCCCTGCTCACCCGGCTGGAAGACTGAGCAGAATAAAAAGCAGGACGTCAGGGCTGAGTGAAGCCTTTCCCTCTGCAGATAAATTACCAGGGGACAAGGAAATTGGCCGTGTTTGCAAAGGGCTCGGCTTTCGGCTCTTGCCAGCGTGCCAAGCTTGTCTGAAGAGCAGCTGTGGCTGCTGCCCAGGGTAGATGCATGGTTGCAGGGGCAGATTGCACAGTCTTGCTCAGGTGGGCTTGCACGGCCAGACGGCGCAGAGCGGGGGCACTTGCTATGTTTCTCTGAGAGCTCAGAGCAAGAAAGGGGCCTGGTGGCTCGCTGCCTGCAGCATGCCCCGTCCCCCTCGCCTCTTCCTGGGTGGGAGAAATCACAGCAGCTTGCTCCTCTTCGTGTTTTAGCATTGCACCCCCAAGCTTGGACACAGCCAGCTCTGGAGCCCTGCAGGGCAGGCAAGACACTGGGACAAATATTAGTGTGCATTAATTGGCAGTGTGTTTTATATGCAAGTCCTGCGGCCCCATGCGCTTTAGTGGAAGTTGCAAGGAAACTTTTGCATGTCGTGAGCTCAGAGCAAGCAAGCCAGGTCACAGTGCTCTCTTTGAAAAGTAGTGAGCCAAAACCGTGAAGAGGGGGGCAGAAGGCAAAGGCAGAGGGGTGAACTAGGGAAAGTGGTGCAAGTGCATAGAAAATGTTAAACCAAGAGGAAAGGGAAAAGAGAGGTGTAGTGGCTTTTACTTCACAGTGAGGCAGAGCAGAGGGGTGGTGTCTGGAAGCCTAGCCAATGCTTCCCAGGCTTTTTGGGAAGCACTCTGTGTAGGTGCGAGTACCGCCTTCCTCCCAGCCAGCTCCTTACCTAGGTGATGGGAAGTCAGGGAGGATCGTATATTTTAACTGATGAAGTAAATCAGCTGGAGAACCAGACTGACCTCACTGATGGGGTACAGAGCATAGCAAATGTCTATAATTGCCTTCCAGGGTAAAGATTTTACCTATCGGCAACTTTGGCATTTGGCCCCTGTACCAGGTAAGTGCAAAGCTGTTGTCCTTAGGAAGGATTGCTCAAACGTCAACTAGAAAATAGTCAAAGAAGGCCATTCCTCACTATAGCCTGCGTGAGCATGTTTGGTACAAGGTTACACATGGCCGTTTGTAAGCTGTGCTGCAAGAAAAGAAGGCCAACTTATTTTATTAAGATCTGGTGCAAAATAATGATCCCAAGCTACTTTGTTTTGGTTGCCTACATTATTAAGTGCTTAAAAGAGAAAACTCAAGGAGACAGACAGTTATAACTGCACCCTTCTCGTCTGCGTTTTTCTCAGGGGGCTCAGCAGCAGGCGCAGCATCCCCTGTGCCTGCTCATCGCTTCTCATCCTGTCTGTTGCCTTTCTGCAGCTCCAGCAGGAGAAACAAGCTGTGAGTGATTACACCACGCACTTGCAAACACCAAGGAATGGCACGGATATGAGAAGCAGAAAAAAAACGTGCTCATTTTGTGTTTTTCTAAATGCCTGCCAGAGATGCATCTGCTCTTTTGACAACGAAGCGTAAGACTAGATATCTGGCTATTAGAGGCGTTGAGAACAATGTGAATAATTTGTGTCACGTGTGGGAAGAGGGAGTATCTACCCTAACAGCCTTTCTGATTGTAAAACTGATGCTCACATGCATTGGCTGCTATGTAAAAGATCTCAGAGTGTCAGAGAAGTGCTTGAACCTTGGGCCGTTACATTCAGCTGCCCCAAAATGGTACCAAATCCACGTGTTTGTCCCAACAAGTCTATAGCATAGCACGCGCGTAAACCAAAGCCTCCGTGCTCCTCTATCACTTGCACACCCGGACATCCCATAGTCTACCTGCTTTGGTACAATCCCTGGAGATCTGGTTATGGATCAAGTGTCCTCCCAGACAGATCTTTGTCCTAATGCTTTTTTGCTCCCCTGCCTGGCCACAGTAGGCAAGATAATTATTTCCCTCCTCTTCACAATTTCCTTTCAGTCTTTGAAGACCATTGCCCCTCTATCTCCTCTTCTGCAGGCTCCCTTCGATCTCTGCTCTCTTGCTGACGGTATTATAGACGTGAGAAGGAGGGAGTGCTATAGAGAAGAGCACGAACAAACGCAATCCTTTGTGGCAGCCTGGAGGCATCTGGGGGTTGTGGGGAAATTGCTCAGGAAATCTTTGCAAGACCATCGGCTCACCTTCCAAAAGAGGTGCTAGAAAGCCTTTCGCCTCCTCTCTGCCTTTTCTTTCTTTCTTTCGGTCTCTGACCACCTTCGCTTCAGAGAGCTAATACCGGTTTAAACTCACGTACTTGAAGCCAGGGAGGTGGGAAGCGGAGGAGGGAGCAGCAATGGGATTACCGTCTAAGAGGTTTATCTCCTGCAGGGCGCTCAGAGTGCACTGTGTCTGCTGAAACAAAAATTGCCATTCGTATAGCTCGAATAATTTCATAAACTGCTCTGGATCCACGGATGAAATATGGCCATTCCCAAGAAATTACCTTCATTTTGACAGATACTGCCGGTTTCGGCAGATGGCTGCAGCGCGTGTGCACCCCTCGCGCGGGGCTCACGGCTCGCCCCTCGGGCATGGGCTGCCCTGGGCCACCAAACCAGTGCCTTCCCCCCGCGGCGGGACGGGAGCTGCTCCCCGCTCTCGGCAGGGGTGGCCTTGCCCAAGCTCACAGCACTTTGCGACGTCTGCTCAGCTGGGACATTTATCTGCAGTAGGTTTTTGCTAATGGTAACGGGGACATGCTGGAGGCTGGAAAGAAGGAAGAGAAGCACAGGAATATGTACCTAAGAGTCAAGTAGCATTTTTATGTCATGTATTTCCAATTGCATTAAAAATACAATGTGAAAACATAGCAGCGTTTCATTAAGAGGGTTTTAACATGGACACAAGCCCTACTGTGCTCTGGTTTGGCCAGGCAGAAGGCACGGACTCAGGAGCTTTAAGAGAACTATAAAGAGCAGTATGATATAATCCTGAGATTACAGGCAGCAATTAGCAGCGCAGGTGCGTTCACACCTCCCTGTGCTCCAAGCCTGCAGGGCAGGCAGCGTCGGGCACATCCTGGGCTGCTTTCAGATGTGTTTACTGGAGGCTGCTGTAGGTGCCGCCTTGCAAGAACAAGTCGCGTCCACCCTGGCTTGCAGAATAACCACCAGCCTCACCGAGATGCCAGGGGCCGCAGCACCGTGCCCACAGCCAGCCTGGCTGGGCAGGAGCCTCTTGTCAGCAGCAGGACTGAAGTGTTTCCCTGGGAACGGGCACGCAGAGATCAAAGAGCAGGGTTAGGCCCTTCCCGGGAGGTTTACACCGCTGCAAACTGTGGCTGTTTGGTCTTGGTGTGGCAAACCCTCTCTGCGACGAGACCTGGAAATTCAGGGAGCCGCCAGGGCTTCTTTGCCAAGGAGGTATCAGGACGCACCAAGCACTGCACGCTTCCCTGCCCCAGCTGTGTTTCCCATTCGTGAGTCCCAGCCCTGGCCTGACTTGAGATCCCAAACTCACGGCCATCTCAAAAAACAGAGAACATGGATTTGAAGATGACTCAGGCACACTATTTTATTTATAGGTAACAGCAGCAACCATCAAAAATAAATGAAACACCAGGCAAAACCAGCTGTAGGGCCAAAGCACGGTGGAGCAGCAGGTACCTTCCTAGCCCCTCTCCCGTGCAGCTCTCGGCACCTCCGTGCTGGCAGAAGTCATTCATCCCCAGGCAGCAGGGCTGGAAAACGCTGCCAAAGCAGAAGAGGAAGACAGTGGGGGAGACAGGCCCTCTGCATTTTGCCTAGGTATGCCAGTCTCTACCGCAAACAGGACAAACTGGTGAGATGCATAGGTGATCTGGGGCACCATCAACAGCACAGCCCTGAATGCATATGCTCATTGCCTTGCACCCAAGTGCACATGCTCAGCACCTTGCATTAAAGCCAGCTGCCTGTATTCATCTCCTTAGTCTGACACGAGAGCTGAGGAACGTGGCTATCTGCTAGGAGGTGGCTGGGGTCCCTGTATCGCTTGCTGTTGGAGTTGCTTCAAGGGAGCTGCGGCCTTACACTGAAAAAAAAGGTCAACTCTTTGCCCCGGGCTGCTCAGCCACTCTGCTTTCTAGCATTGCCATATTTTTACAGGGGAACCTGCTATTCTCAAGTTGGATTTCACTGCTGAGTCTTTGGCACTGCTCCGCAAGCCCTGTGCGCTTGAGGCGTCTGGCTGATGCTGGCCAGATACCCACAGCACCGGCTTGGGGGACACAGTGACAACCGATGGGGCGCACAAAGCTGCCAACGAGGGGCCTCTCGAGGTTTCTCCCTGGCTGCCCTCTGGGCCGCAAGTCCTGCAAATAAAACAGACCTCCACGGGGTGTTTGGACTCCTCAGCCCCTGTTGGAAAAGCAAAATTCATCACGGCAGCAGCAAGGCAAGGGGCCATTTACATCTCTGCATCGCTGGCACACCAGAGAGGTTTCAGCGGGTCTCGTCCTGCCCCCGTAGCCAGCCTCGCTAGCCCACCAAGTGCCCCCCGAGAAAACTGCAGGGCTCCTCCACGTGCTCTGCTCTGTCTCAGGGCTTCCTCATGCTTGGGGTTGCATTAACACATTTGCTTCTTGTTTTTACAAGGAGCACGACTCACATTATAAATCTGCTCCTAGATTTCATCATCTTCCCCCAGCTTCTCTGGCCCTAACAGGCTTGCATAAGCTGAAGCCCTCAAATAGCTAATTCTGCATGTCTCTAAGGTATTTTAAAATTCAGGACATTTCCCAAATGCCGCCCCTTGCCAGACAGCCTGTGTCCAGAAGAGGGCAGGGTTAGATACCATGCAAGCCAGCACAGCACAAGAAAGACATTTCCTGGGAGCGGGGGACCATGCGGTGCCATTATTGCTAGGCAAGGCCCCAGCAGACAGAGTCTGCCTTTTCCACATCCCTTCTCACTTTGGGACCTTAAAACCTGTTTGTAGAGCCTTAAAGCAGCATGTTTTGTGCCTTTTCTGGCCTGCTCCAGGCCCTGGCTGATCCTGCAGACCTGGGGGCTGAGCAGACACCTTGCTTACGCAGCGCTCCTGGTGCACTGCCATCGCAGCTAGTCTTTCACGCGGCGATGGATACCCAGCGGGGTGGAGAACGTACCTTGCACTAATCAAGGGATCGTTTGCAAGGACGGTTGCTCTTCCAGGAAAACGGAGTCTGCCCTCAGGCCACCGAGCTGCGGAGCACAGGTTTTGCACGTGCCCCTTGTGATGGGCTTTGCTCCCTCGCGAGGAGGCTGGAGCAGTACCAGCCGCTCTGGTGGGCAGCAGGGCCGGCGGCAGAGCTGGCGTAACCCCGAGAGGTTTGTTGCACGCCCCAGCAGCTCTTCCCCGACAGTCCAAAGATGAGTGAGAAAGCACATGGGGAGGAAGGCAAGGAGATGAGGCAGATGATGGAGGAGGGCCGCACTCTATGCAGCACCGCTGCAGGGCTGGAGAAGCAGCCAGCTCCGAGAGGATCGCTCAGCGGATGGACAGGCATGACTGCAGGAGAGAGAAGGGCACTTTCTTAGCAATTAGAGCCTTACACTTTCTCCAGAAATAACATCCTTTCCTTATCCACCTCTGGGTCTCATCTGGCATTGTGCTGACCACAACCTGTTAATTTTTAACCCACGGGGCAGGAACAAGCATGCTGGTGCTGTCACAGGAGAGGTGTTGCTCAAAGGCAGCGTCACCATAGGGGACAGCAGTGGGAGGCTTTGTGCACATGAGGTCACCTCCTTGCGCTGGCGTCGCTGCTGGCACCTTCATGGCCCCGTATTGCCAGCAGCACGTGTCTCCCGTGCTTCTCCCTTAAGCCTCAGGACTTGGTCGAGGTGAAGCAGCTTTACCGTGGGTCATGCAAGTCCCCTTGGAAAAGATGCTGGGGCCAGAATTTATAAGAACTTTGTTTTTCCCCGAAGGAAAGGACAGCGTGCAGCTATTCAGCCACTGAAGGTAGCAGTGTTTCTCCTTTTGCAACGGCACATCTTGCTTATCCTCTATTTCCACACCAAAAAAAAAAAAAAAGCAGACTAGGAACTAATACAAGCCTGTGCATCTGCCAAGGGACAGCACAGCCTGTCTTTGCCCCCCTGAAGGCCAGGGCAACGCTGCCCTTTGCAGATGTGGGACACCCAAGCAATATTTGCCTCGGTCGTAGCTGCCCATTACATTATGCAAAGTATCAGTGAGAACCAAGCTAAGGCGGTCAGGGAGCCTCGGCAGGATGCATGGCATGTGCTGGGTGTTTCTACACCCATAGGGCTCCTTTTGCTCTTGGGACATCAGCTATTGAAGGAACCAGGCCCAGGAACCCAAGAGGCTTAGGGTTTACAGAGATGGTTTGTGCCACGTTTTTTTAGACAGCGCTGGTTCGTCTGATGAGGGAAAAGTACCATCTCCTTGTAAGCAAACAAAACTCAACTTTATTGCCTTTAAAGTGCAACTAGCCCAAACAGTGGCAAAAGTGCAAACACTGATAATGCCCAGAACATTTTGAGCTGTGCAAACAGGGAGGTGGACGTGTGTGTTGAAACGCCGGGCTGAGGGGGCTGCCCACAGGGGCCGGTGGGAGGAGAGCTCCCGGCCCTGGTGCCCCGTGCTCACCCTGGAGCCACCAGCCTTGGAC